TACTATTATCCGTATACTATTATCCGTTTTTGATACTTTAAAAAAATGAGGTGATTTAAAGGTATTTTCTAAGAAGCTTCAATTGAGTAAAGTTTAGTATATAAGAATTGATCGGATTATCAGTTACGTGCCTGGTAGATTCCAGTATTTTTTCTATTTTGATTAAGGAAGGAGCGGGTGATATGGAGCAGTTAGGTTTTTTTGTAACAGGATTGATAAAATTTTTTCTATTTGGTATTTTGATTGACTTCGACTGTTGTGAATAGACCTGACGAACCTCAGGCCCAATATAAAAAATCGTAAAAAGTGTAGCCTATTGCGATTCAACTACCGATTAGTTCTATGATCGAGAACGAGTTGGTGACTGAATGTAATACTGGAGTGAGAACACTTTAACAGTTTTTGCAATTACAATACAAAATTCGGGTATAACGTCGAATTCAAACTAATATAATATTTAGTTCTTTTTCTCTCAACTGCTCAACAATTAATTGCTTGCAAGTCTAGATTTTCCTAGGTTTTATGTTATTTTCAGGTTCATAGGAGCCAATTATTCTAAATGTTTCGAATAAACATTGTGTTCGTCGAGGGATTCATCAAACGCTGGAACCGTTCACAAAAATAATATGAAAAGTCGCAATCGGTGTAACACATCATAATTGCACCGAAAGGTAATGAAACACGGAGGACTGTGTTGTACGCAGTCATTCACAGAATCGGTCTCATCCGATATACCATCATTTCCTCTTGGTCGGTATACTCGATCTATCTATGGTTCAAATGGCACAACGTCGGAGAGATTTTATGTATTCACTGTAAAGATTCAACACGACCTTCATCGGGCACGGGATCGAGATACGCCCCGATTAAGGCATTCCTGCCACGGCTGAGGAATTATTAAATAGCTCGAAGTACAAGCTTTTGCTCCCTTGAATGAAAGCGAGACCTTTTCAATCACTACCGACTCTGCAGGCCGACGCCTGAACTGTGCACCGCAGTTCACTCGTCGGGTATAAACTCTTGCCCGCGATATGGGCTTACCATTACCCGCGAGAATCCAACCCATTCGATTGACGACGGGGGGCGAACTCCACTGATATCAATGATTAAAGCTGTACTGATCGTATCTGTTGCAGACAGACCCGGAGCAGATAGTTGGACGCTTGAAAATATTCCGCAATTATCCTGTCACAGGATGGTGTTGAACACATCGACAATATTTAATGATACTAACCCAACTTCTTCCCGGGAAATTGTGGTTGCGGGAAGTGCCCATATTCGGTTAATCACATCAATATTGAATAGGCTTCATCGGGCGTCCTTCCTCACACATCGAACAGTTTGCCGACCTTATTCGAACAGCATACCGATTTAGGCCTTGCGAAACAGTTGGCCGCTTTGCTTTCGGCAAAAGAAGAAATCTTGTTACTGTCGATAGGCGATTAAGTTAAACCGTTAAACATTATTATCTCCGCTCAGTCAAGAACACCGTCTGATCCCAAGGTCATACTCCGGAAACTTTTCATTCAGATTTTCATTCCTGAAAACCTTTGGATTATTACGCCATTCCTTCGTCGTCTCGTCGCTTCTTCAGCAAGGGGCCAGAGTCCTTTTTGCCCCAAGAGGAAACAGAATATCCAAACTGCTTTTGGGGCTTTTTGGGATCAAAATCACCACCGAGTTAGTATTTCTCAATGGAGGAATGGTCCCTTTGCCTTTCTTAACTAGATTCGGGATCAGTTACAGCAAGTAGAGTAGTCCTTTAGTCGATGTGCCCCTTTCTATGGAAACGTAAAACAGTCGTCTTCCAAGGAATATTAGGTTAGGTTTAGGTTTAGGTTTTACCTTTTCTTCTGTTCTAATTTTTCCATTCCAGCTTATTCTACCACTTATATCAACATATTTACAGTTCCTATTTACAATTTTTTCAATTAATTATCCTCTCTGTTTCCGCTACCATTCGTCCTACCAATACCAGAGTATATAATTAAATAAATAATTAAATAAATTAATTAAGTACGTAAATAAATAACTGAATAAATAAATAAAATAGTTTATATAAATAAATAATAAATCTATACAAATTGGCCTAAATAAAATTTTTAAATAAATAACTACAATGTCTTTTGTTGTACGATTACATTCTTCGATTATATAATAATCCTTCCTTTTGTCATCCTCTTCTTTTTTCTTCCTCTTCATCATCGATTCTTTTCTATCATTCTTCCAACTTTAACTGTACTAAATTTGTTATTGTTATTGTTACTTTCCCTCGTTCACCCTCTTTTATATCCGTCTATCCATCACATTCAAAAAATTGCTTCATACTATCTCTTCTTTTTCCATAGTAGTTACGTCTTTCTGTTCTTGTACTTCTTAAGATACTCATGTATTAAAATTGCCATACTCTATTAGCAATTATGCATTATATAATGTCTAACTTTTTCCTTTTCTTCATCGCTAGTTCTTAACAGTAATTTTTAATCCTTCCTTTTTTTTTGCTATAATCCTT